GATCTTTGCAGACGAACTGCAAAAATCAACTTCGCTGTTCTTTCCTATATTCTGCACAATGATTGAAGTTGTGCAATGACTCGATGTTATCCTTCTGTGTGTATTTTTTTATTGTGTTTTTGTGTTTTGTTGTTGGTGAACATAATAACATTAACAGCAAACATAATATTTGCTTATAAAATAAATATTTCTTTCTTTGTTGACCATCTAATAAAAAATTTAATATTTCATATAACAGTAAGTTGAATAAATTGATTAAATTAACTTTCTCTTAAATTTTTTCAACTGTTTATGGCACAAAAAATTTAATGGATAAACTGTAAATTTGTGCTCATGTTTCCTAGTGCTCAACTTTCCTCGTGTTCAATTTTCCAAGTACCCATATTTCCTAGTGCTCAACTTCCCCGTGCTCAAGTTTCTTCGTGCTCATCTTTCACCCACCCCTTGTTGGTAGGCTTTTTTGTTCACTCCATTCAGAAAAAAGTCTCGGAGATTTCTTTGCTTTTTCGTTCTGCAAAAAATGAAAGTACCAGTCATGAAAACTATTTTTTTGTCATTGCTGAGAGCACTACACACTGGTAAGATCACCGAAAATAGGTTTAGACGAAGTTTATTTTTGAGATATTTCTCTACATGAACGGTACAATGACAGCACAAGTCACGCATACATCTTTTCTACAGGTTATCAGTGTGCAGATAATGTTTACTATTGACAATAACTCTTAATAAAACTTGAATATTTGATTGTTGCTGACACACAAGAGCGAGAGTACTGTTGATGTTGTTTTTCTATTTGTACGTCATATCTTGGTAGTCGAACACAATTTGCATAGTCCATTGTAAATTTCAAAGGTAAATAAAAGGAAAGACAAGAAAACATAGGACAAATAGGATATGATTAAGTGTAACAATAACAATAACTGTCACAGTATCCGATAAGAACTAATTATTCATAAATAGTTGTTACAGCAGATTATTAATAAAATGAAAGAGAAAGCAAACCTAAAAAGGAATTTTACTCGTTAATATTTTCGAAAACGGTGGAACAGAAACGGTGGAGGTAGAGACAAAGAAGTAGAGAAAAAACATATATTCTCTTTTTTGACTATTAATGACAATTTTTTTGAAAAAGATCAAAAATTATTGTCAATATAAAACCTTGTCTGCAAACAGATAACTTGCAGAAAAATATGTTGTTCGTAAAATTTCTCGGAAATAAAGTTCTATAAATGGTATTGAATATTTGAGTAATGACTTGAAACACTTCAGCTTATACAAAAATCCACCTTTATTATGTATAAAGGCAAACATATAATATAGGGCTTTTATATATTTTTGATTTTTATCTTTGATAGAACAAGCTGGTATGTTAAAATAAATCCATGGCTGGAAATGCAAGGTAAAAATGAAATATTATTGGAAGCAGTATAAAGTAGTTTACTTCGGAGATGTTACAATGATACAATGTTGTGAAATATTACTTTTGCGGTTTGCATGAACTCAGATGGATCGGACAAGCTTCTTCCATATAATTCCAAGTTGTTCTGAAGATATCTGATATGTTATTTCCAAGCATTCTGAAGCATCTCATTATACTAGAATTTTATTTTCATATTTTGTTCAACGGTAGAGAGAGGATGAGGCAAGAGTGAAGAAATTCAATTTAGTTAAAATAATATCTACCGCCGTTTCTGGCCTACAGACTTCGCATCTTTGGTTTTGTTCTACGTTTCCAATAGTTTCACCTGCTAGCCACAAAAGTAACGTGTGATCGGAACGGTTTGCGTAAAATGTTGGGCGATATTTCTCTATTCTCCTAATATTAGGGGGATTTCACCTTTTCTTTCTGAAGAGAAAAATTTGAACTACAAAACGTTCTTGAAATAAATTTTTCCGAAAAAATGTAAAAACTAAGCATCGCTAAAATGGTTTTTGCACTCTTTTTCTAAAACATATCAAGAAAAGTATTTTATCGATTTCAACTTCTTGCCAAAAACGAAATATATGAAAACTATATTGATCAGGCATCACCAAAAAATTGTGAAGGTTGTTTTTAATGATGTTTTGAAACGCTGTCTAGAAGCAGTTTCTCGGAAAATCATCGTCTCAACGCCTACCTACAACAGAAGACCACATAGCCTTTTATTTTGTTCGTCAACTCGGAACTTCGAAAGTGGCCTTCTACCGAGATCAACTTTATCCTCATTATTCATAAATCAAATTACCCTTAAATCATTTTTATATGCTATGCTATCTCATACGAATGAATTGAAGAGAAGTTGAAGGCATTCCATCACATTGAGTTACGATTTATGGGACGTAGAAAATGGTTTTCTCAGTGACGTTATTTGATTTTTAGTAAAAAAGTTATATTTAAAAAATAATTTTTGATCACAATTATTATACTCGTTTCGAATACATGTGCATGAATACGCAAGTCAAAAAAGTTCGTTCTCCCTAAAAAACATAACCGAAAGAATTGGCTATGGGCTTCTCCTCCAGATCAGAACCTTAGATTCATCGTCTGTTACGGAAGGATGTTTCATATCTAAGGCATTTAGTAGAGTATCACAACGATCAGAAAGTAACTGAGATTAAGTGTACTTCCATTGTCGGCGAGACGGGATACACAGGGAACATTTTTATTGCAGCGCTCTCCCTCTCACTGTCTTTCTCCGTCCCGTTGAACAGTGGAAAAGCTAGTCGATCTTGTCGATCTCAAGAAACGTCACATAGAAAAGTGTCAACTGTCGGTTGCTTTGGAATCGGTTGACGGGATTCTTGATATTTAGAAAACTGATGGGTCATAGGAAGTTTAATAAATAAATACAGGTTCGAAAGTTCTCAAGTACTGTTTTATCACCAGTGAACATATTTATTTAGCTATGATTTGAATACAATTTCGGCGGAAACGTCTGAACAACGTTCTCGCCACTCAACAGCAGCCAGCATACAACCCGAAAATGTGTCTATTGGTCATCCACAATTGAATCCGATTCTACCGTCACCCGCCAGGCGTCGACTTGAAAGGTACAGAAAATGTTTCGAGATTAAAACTATTTTAAGATGATTAATAAAGAATTTATTTAGCATTTCACCAAGAATGATGACTCGTCGTGAGATGGCAGAAGTTCAGTTAAATGGTTTACTTAATGATCCCGTAATATCTTTAAGCTATCTTGAACGGCAAACAGGACATAATATGTCAGAACAGTATACTGTTAAACAAATTGCAGAAATTCTTCATACATCACCATATTTGACCGGTCGATTACTTATTGCCATCGGTTATCCAGACGACGTATCTGTTTTAAATGGTTATGATGTTCAAAAGATAATACGTATATTAACAGGTACATTGGATACTCGTGCATTAGTATTTTTTATCATGTTAGATAACGATGGTGATAAACTTATTTCAAGTACTGAACTAAAAACATTTTTTACAAAGTATTTACAAGAAACTGATAAATATATTAATGAAGAACGTCGAACGGAAGCCATTAATATGTTAATAGATAAATTTCATCTTGATGACGAAAATAAACGCATGAATTTTGAGGAATTTCATCAAATTGTTTGTGCACATCCACTACTACAACAAGCAATTAGTCAATTTATTGTTCATCCACGATGTGTGGAAATTTATAACAAACCACAAGAGCCAAAGAGTACCAAATGGTGTGAAAAATTATGTCCAAGTATGTTTCGACAACCATATGATCGAAATAGAGTTTTCTTCTGGACAAGAGATTTTATCAAAGATAATTTTATTCGACTGTTATATCTTCTTGTATATATCCTTATTAATATTGGCTTAATAATTTGGGTATTTATCGAGAGAGTTCAAAAGCAAAAATTACCTTGGGCATTAGTTATAGCAAGACTAAATGGAATGTTATTAAATTTTAATTGTACACTGGTTATTATATTGATGCTTAAACAAACCATTACATTAATAAGAAGTACATTTCTTTGGAATTTAATTCCAGTTGATGATCATATTGATTTTCATAAAGCTGTTGGAAGAGTTATTGCAGTTACTGCGCTTCTACACACAATTGCACATTTCATAAATGCTGCACAGCACACGGGTAAGTAGTTATATTGTTATTTTGAAAAAATCATCCTTTCATGGGTAAACAGTCTGTTTCATCAGTTTCTCAAAGCATAAACATCTATTCCTCCGCATTAGATTACAAACACATTCAGTTTTATGAATTTGATTAAAAACATTTCTGATTACAAGAGGACTGTGATTAACTCGATCACTCTATATCTAAGATTTTGATATTTTAAGCTAGACGTGTTTGAAATAAATAAATTTTGTTTTATAATCACTTTGTTTTCGTTACAGAAACGTTCAAGCCTTGGAAACTTGACCTGGTCCCTTACTGCACGCGCAGTCCTCGAGACTTTTCTGTAACTTTTTTCTCAACATAGTTGAGAATATATACGTCAGACTTCAACGAAATGATTCGGTCTTTAGTGATTTTCTGTAACGAAAAAGCCGTTGTAAAGCAAAATTTATTTAGTTCTACATCTTAGTTTTGCATCTAGTCTAAACTTAAAACTCGAACTGTCATAAACATGAATTATGATAGAAAAAATATATTTCCTTTCCACATGACGTGTTCAGGAATGCCTTCAAAATTGTTGCCGCTTGAATTGCTTCAAGCGCTTTCTACATTTCGATACATCTATTCACAGAAATGAGAAAAGAAAAGTCAGAAACGATAGAGAGTGAACAAGTGATATTTTTCTAAGTAAAAGCAGAGAACGAAAAAGAACTCTATGATGTTGATATATGAGATATACGATTGCTTCTAAGTTTTAAAATTTTTTCTTTTGATCGAAATGTTCACTGCACTCACTATGAAATTACTCTATATTCTGTCAACTTGACAGATCAAGATAGAACTAACTAGAATGTACCCCTCCATGTTTTCTATGTTGGTTTGAAGTACACAAGATATACTATACCGAGCCATTTTTTAGAATAGGGTACATTACTTTATGAGATACAGAGCTGTCAATAACGGAGCTGAATATGAGACAAATATGCACTTTTTCTGCCAATTAACAAGCGGAATCATTTCTTCTTGACTAGTATGACTTTTCAGTTTTGTCTTCGGGTCATGGTAGTCCTAATTCTGCATTGTTTATGTCTTAAGAGTTATGTAAAAGTAATATAATCGAGCTAATCAGAGGTATTTTTTAACGCATCATATATTGTTGCATAAAGTAAGGTCAGACTTTTTTGGAATTCATCAGTTATTGTCAATAATGATAAATGATCAATATTTGTTATTCATCATTTCTTATGTGTCATATATTTTCTTCTATATCTGAATATATATCTTTATTCCTGTTTATCGAAAAGGATAAATTTTCTATTGTAATTGAGATATTTGTTTATTACATGTCCAAAAGAAGCAGTGCTCATCCTACATTCTGTCAACTTCGCGAAGTAGAATTAAATTAACTAGAGAGGATCCATTTTCACTTCTTATATGAATTTGAAGTGCACAAACGATACTAACCAAGCAGGAAAAATGCAGCTAGATGTGGATGATGAACTGCTAGATGCATCGACCAAAAGACGATGGATATTTTTAAAGAATAAATAAATAACTGTGCATCTAGTAACAGTCGATGCAGCTAGCTTTATACATCTAGCTGGATCTGCTAGTGCATATAGTATCTAGTGAAAGTCGATCCAGCTAGCTTCATTTGATAGATGCACTAGTAGATCCAGCTAGATTCATTAAGTTGACTGCATGGACTATTACTATGTGCACAGTTATTTATTTATTCTTTAAAAATATCCATCGTCTTTTGGTCGATCCATCTAGCAGTTCATCGTTCACATCTAGCTGCATCGAGCGATGCTCGATTCAACTTTTGTCTTTTTGCTATGAAGCTAGGTGTACCCACTAGTGTATCTGTTAAATAGAAAAGTATAAAGATATGATGATGCAATAGCTTCGCTAAATAAATACAGCAGATTATGGCCGTAAATTTGTTTCTTAAAGAAATAAGAAAAAGAACTTAAAAAGGATCGAGAATCCTTTTCAGTGACCGAATTACCGTAAGGTAAACGTTATCACATATGATGATAACATCATGCTTGGACTTGTGTAGAATGTGTATCCGAGAGATACTGACGCTCAAACCATTCGGATTAATAATACGGTCAAGCCA